GAGAGAGAGACAGAGAGAGAGAGACAGAGAGAGAGACAGAGAGAGACAGAGAGAGAGAGACAGAGAGAGAGACAGAGAGAGACAGAGAGACAGAGAGACAGAGAGACAGAGAGAGCTGGTGTCATAGAACACTCTGAAAACTTAGCACCTATCTAATGTCTACAGGCTACAGACACAGGGAGGGGGCCTGCATCCCGAGGCTTTATACAAGGTAAGTGGTATTCAAAGCAGGGAGGCAGCAACCCTGGCTTATCCTCTCGGACTGTGCCATTTACCTGGTGGTCCCATTTACTGCCAAGCTGCCGAGTCTTGCCGACTTTGTCCCTCTACCCTTGCTACTGATGATGTCTGAGAAGTCTATTTTGTCTTCGTTGAAACACAGGGTGACTGAAACTCCACCTTCCCTCACAAGCCTTTCCCATCCTCTCTTTGTGCTTATGATGAAACCCAGTCCTGGGACTCCCTGACCTTGTTGTTGGCTTCGGAACTCACCTGATGCTGTAGAGGACATTGCCATTCCGGGAGATTCTCAGCAGTTTGTTGTCAGTGGTGATCTCATGGAAGTGGGCTCCCTTCTCATTGGCAAAGAACAGGTCAGGCTTCCAGATGGAATCCAACATGGACGGGTCAAGGTCCAGAGAGTCGTCCGGGTATTCGTTGTAGGCCAGACGGGGGTCGTTCCACTGCTGTCTCAGGAAGATGTTGACTCTGTAGTCCTGCAGCCCCAAGACAGCAGTGGTGGTGGCGTTAGGCTCTGGGTGCCAACTCTCAGAGGTCCCGGGTGCTTATGGCTCATGGGCCCCCCAACCTGGAAGAGGCTGAGTGTGGCTGCCTCCCCTGGTGTGACTGGGTACCAGGGGACCAACAATTGCTCCTCTCTATCCTCAGCTAAGTATACTTAAATCTGAACTTTAGAAGAATTTTTTTTTTTTTTTTGGTTTTTTGAGACAGGGTTTCTCTGTGTAGCTTTGCGCCTTTCCTGGAACTCACTTTGTAGACCAGTCTGGCCTCTGAACTCACAGAGATCCGCCTGCCTCTGCCTCCCGTGTGCTGGGATTAAAGGTGTGCGCCACCACTGCCCGGCTAGAAGAAATGTTTTATTTTGAAGGAATTTCAGCTGAACGTGGTGGCTCATGCCTGTAATTCCAGCATAGGAGGTTGAGGCAATGTGTCTCCTTCCTTCCTTCCTTCCTTCCTTCCTTCCTTCCTTCCTTCCTTCCTTCCTTCCTT